ACACTAACGAGCATAGGAACTGCTTCCCATCGAATCCACCATCTCGCAAACGTAACCTTCCTGGTATGCCCAGGCACCGAAGGCAGTAATTAAATCGCTTTCTGCAGACACCCGAAGGCGTGTTCGGTTTTATGCAAGAATTTTCTCTTGCGTCGGTTCCACCCCGGTTCTACATACCGTGGTGGCATACCAAAACAAGACGTCGCGTAATTTTATACGCGGTTACGTTCCCGCGTATCGGAAACTCGATAGAACCACGTAGACAGATGGAATCCGTGTTACACGTCCGAGTAATATACAGACATGCATTAAACATGAAAAATGATCGCCGAGCTTCGCGCGTTCTCTCGGTCCGCTTAAGGACGTTAGAGCGTCCAAAGAAGCCGAGTACGCGACGACGTAACCGAGGAAAGTGGTGTGCAACGATGCGAATGCGTGGTGCGATGGGGAAAGGGTATTCGCGGGCACTGAAAATAATTTGCGTAGACGGAACAATAAAATATATATTAAGGAAGCACTCCAGTTTGGAACTTTGAAGAGTTTAGGAATTTATATAAAGAAATTGCACAACGAAAGAATCGATTTTTTCTTTTTTTGAACTGAGAAATCAGAATGGCCTCCCAAAGTAGGGGCCGTTAAAGAAAAATAATGAGGGTTAAGGAGAATTACAAGCAACGGAAGTCCTGTTATTGGTGTCGCAGTGTGTACATAACCGTTGAAAGTGATAGTTGAAATGGCAGTTTCCTGTAAGTCGACGAACGTGCGGTAGTTTGATCGAAGGAATTGAGTTCATAGAAGTATGGTTTATATAATAATCACCGTGACCAGTACAATCCTGTTCGCCGTGGAAGTATAGTATGCCGGAGTACCGCAGCGAATCTTTAATTTTCTTGCCAAGTACTGTCCATATGTTAAACCATGAAATAAGAAACGGTTTCTTACTTAGATTCCGATATACAAAACCATTGATTGATTGTTCTATGAGAGGTTCAAAAAATTGATTGAATGAAAGTAGACAAAAATTTGTCTATAAACTACAGGAAACTTTCTATAAAATACCTCAATAGTTTAATTATTGTGCATACCACCTGCGCATTACGATTTTAGAAAGACTAGAGGGAAAGGGCATTTTTCTTCGAGGCGTTGAGTTGGGACATGATCAATAATAAAAACGTTTTCCTCACCTTCCATCCATGTACCAATTGACACCCTACTCTTCCAGAACTTAGATAATTGTTAGACCAGAGGATTATCAGACTCTTTAACCTGTCGATGTGGGGCATGATCCAAAAAAAGTTTTCATCTTCCATCCACATACCAATCCATACTCCGCTCTTCTAGAACTCAGTCAACTGTTAAATTAGAGGGCCATCGGACTCCCCGAGTTGTCGAGGTTTTGGATCCCAAAAAGGGTTGGGAAACGGCGTGCTAACAGGATCTGTGGGTGAGCCTCCATGATCGCCGTGTAATCCGTTTCGCGTGCTGTGAACGAACGTTAAAAGTGACAGTCGAAGCGTTTCCTGTGGGTCGTCGCGAGGCGTGGTGCGCGCCTGGCGTCTTTTGTGCGAGCATTTTGCTCTCGGCGCGGTTCAAGGAGATCCAGAAGCGACGGCGTGGCGAACCAGCGGCGAGCTACGACGCTCTGAATCTGAATCTCTCACGGTAAGCACGCCGCCATGATCCTGCCTCGCCCCGTATTCGGGTCAACCGAGTAGTAGAGGAATTACGTAACACGTGTGCGCCGGGGCGGTTCCCACCGAGTCGCTCTACCGGAAGTCGGGACCGCGTCTTGTCGTAAGGACATACGGTCAGCCCGACGGGCATGGGAAACCGCGATCATAATAGGAAAACCTGCCGACGAAGATGAATCAACGACGGTGGAAAAGTATTACAAGGAAACGCAAACGGTATCGGCAGACGACGTGGAAATGAGAATGCAGAAACGTCGGCGATGATAGAGGAGACGAGCGTATTGCGGAATTAATTCTCTTGGCAAGGTCGCGGTAGAACTTGTTCTGGCGTCCTGGGATTCCATGTTTCGTAAGCTTTCTTGGTTTGTGATGATTGTTAGTGTTGATATTCCTTCTTTCTTTAAAAGTTATCCCAGTGGTTTTGAAAAATGTTCAATGACATCTTCTTTTGAGACAAGAAGTATGGCGTTTCGGATTTTTAGATAGGAATTGTTCTTTTATTTTTTTCAGTTAGCTAAAGCTTGCTTTAATTAGGGAATCTTCATTAATAAATATCTGTTACACTATATACTACAAAGAAATCGATACCAAGTGAATAATCACGACAATTCGAGTAATATATTTGTAATATTTTTTTAAATAAGATAAGCGGTATATTTATATAAAAAAAGAGTACATTCCCAAATTACATGTCCACTTTAGTAGTGTCCACTGTGAGACGGACGTTTCAATATCAGGATACAATTTAATTGCAATTTGCAAGAATTCTACTTTACAGGACTTCGAGTGAATGAAACCAATTGCATAATCCATCCCATTTTTAATGCTCACTGGGTATATTTATCACATTTCTGTTCTCACATTACGTCGAGCACCATGATTTACAAATCATAATCCAGTTCCCTGAATTTCAGTTTTTTTATTATACGCCGCGCGGTAAATCAAAACATTCCACGTTTTACAGCAACGATTTCTCACGAAATACTACGAACTCTAATCAGCTCTCTACCGATCGGTAGAAATAGTAACACTGTAATTTCTAATGTTATGATAGCCAATTGCTACTTTGAAACCACAGACTTGTTACTTCGTGGTCTCCACGTTTATGTAACAAGATTCACAGAAAGATAAACAAAAATCTTTTGTCACCCTTTACAATGTTTAGTACGTGAAATTCACTAAAATGAAATGCGATAACGTTATAATATCGATAGGTTAAAATATAAATTAAACAAATGTGTAAACGCAGTAGTAAAGAGACTCAAAAGTCTGACTAATTTCAGACTTTAAAAATTGAGACATTCGAATTTTTTTTTTTTTTTTCAAATTATTAGACATAAATATAGTCAATTATGTAATCCATTTATTAAGCTTTTAGATTACTTATTACAAAAAATTTGAGTCTATATTATTCTATGTTTTACCTTTATTCTTAGTATTAATTATATTCACAACAAACCCAAGAAGTTTCACATGAATTTATTTTCTGAAATCCTGTCAGAGGTTGTAAAAAGTCATCCATGGAACAATAACTGTATAATATTTTATGCATTGTTTGTAACGACTCAATGAAAGTCGGTGCAAATGATCAGCTCGATAAAGTTATTTTAGTAGTCCCTAATATACGGATTCCAGTCTGCAGTTCCTGGACAATACGGAGGAATTCTCTTCTTCGGATCTCAAATAAACCTACGAAAGCGCAAAAATTAACATCGACACAGTGGAGCACACGAAATGGAATACCAAAACGACAGAGACTCTCGAGTATCCAGTGCCATTCCACTTGTTTGCATAATAAAACCATACTTTACCACCTTTCCTCGTAATAGACCAGATTGCATCGGGTCCTGGTGAGTCCGTGTATCGCAACATTTCACCGACACTGCCATAACACTTTCCTTCCTCGGTCTGGCCGGCTCATGGTGTTCATTTTAACGCTTGGCAACGTTAGGCCTGGCTCGAGCGAGCGATAAGGAATTTTGCCGCACATACCATTCGCGCGTACTTGAGTTCACCGATCCGCGAAACCCACTCTCTCCTCGCCATCTTCTGTTTCCTATTGACTATAAACCGTACCCAGATGCAGATCCGGTTTCGTGCATGGAAACTGGAATAGCGGGCTGGTCTGCCAACATTCTAGCGCCAATCCAGCAATTTGGATTACAACTCGCTGTGACGCGATAAAAGCATTTCTCTCTTTGCACGCAAAAACCAGGGAGGAAACTAACCTAACGAAGTTTTAGTTTCGTGACGATTTTGTCGATTTATATGCTGGTCAGAAGCTGAGAGGAAAAATTTTTTCTTGCTAACTTCCTTATTTTTTCATTTAACAGTAAATAATAGTAAATGATAATAAAGGAATAAATAAATCAATTAAAAAGAGAAAGGAACCTCTAAAAATAATTAGCTTCATATCCTAATAGGTCTGGATCCACTTGATCCGACCGATAAAACCCGTCAGACCTCGCTAGTTCAGCATGTCTGACATATTATGACTATTTCTACTTATTTCCCATGCTATCTCCAAACATTTATCGTTATTACGCATGCACGTGTAATTGCACGTTCAGGCATGCACCAACGACGAATATACAAATAGACTGATTGCTTGGAGCATGTAATCAGGACAGCTGCTGTTACGTGGATTTCACCGTCGCTAATTATAGAAATCAAGACAAAATCGAACGTTCATAGGTCGCGTTCGTTTATGGAAATCTCGTGCTCGAGGATATGAAAGTCAATTTTGAATTAGCTCTGGAGAAAAATAAAAGTTCTAATTCCAAGTTCCAAAAGAACATCGCTTTGTTTATTAACCTTGCGAGGACTTTCAATGTCTCAATTGACCAACGCACTTTTATTCATCATTTGTAGTTGGTTTCTTTTTCTTTCAACTATTAGTTTTCACTCAAGAAGACTATAATGTATTATTGAAATACTTTTATCTAAATTCACTCTATGAATCATTACCATCGATATAATAATAAATTCACAGTTCTATAATTTAGTGACATTTCTCGTTCTATCTACAGTTAGTCCCATAAGTATTCGTACCCTTTATTTCTATTAAAGACATTTGTCTAAATTAAATGACAGGTATTTATGTTAATTTGAAGTCGTCGAGTCTGTCATTTAATTCAGACAAAGTTCTTCAATAAACATAGAGGGTACGAATACTTGTAGGACTGAAATAAAGCAAACAACCCAGATTGTGCTTCAACAATTACATAACTATTTAAAAAAGAAAACAATAAAACAATCCTATCACTATGCTAAATTGACAAATTTTAATCGAATCAATCCTCTTTTCAGGTAATCCCAGCATGCTTCCTGCTGTTAACGGAAGGAAAGCGAGCGGATCTCCGGCCACGCATAACCGAGCCGCAGGTGTACTACGAAGAAGACGACAGCCAGGCTGCCGAAGACGACTACAACCCAGCGCTCTACCAACCGCGAACCCGTGCCCTTCCTTCGCCCCGTTCGAAGGACGCTCTGCACCCATCCAAGCCGCCCCCAGTCCAAACCATTCGCAATTACAACAAGGTCAACGACGACGGATCGTTCACTTTCGGCTACGAGGCAGCAGACGGTTCGTTCAAAGAGGAAACTCGTGGAACCGACTGCGTGGTCCGCGGTAAATACGGATACGTCGATCCCGACGGCAACAAAAGGGAATTCACCTACGTCTCCGGCAATCCTTGCGATCCAAACGCGCCCAAAGACGACGAAGACGATCTATCCGATAAACAGGAAGAGGACGACCTGAACGCACCAGCCAACTATCCTTCCGTTAGACCGATACCACGACCTCTGCCAGTTCGACCGAGTTACCAACAATCCACAACCCGAGCCCCAACGACGATCTTTCAAACGCAGTATCAACTGGACGACGACGCCAGTCAGGAGTTAGGGGAAGAGGACGTCGTGAAACCATCACAACTGAGGCAAGGCGGTTACAGAACTGCCCAACAGCCATCCTACGTTCAAGCGACACCGTCTTCGGCTCTCTACGAACCGTCGCCCACCGCTAGCCCTGGTTTCTACAGACTAGCCTCGTCCACCACTCAATACCAGAGCACAGCGTCGCCGCTTCTTCGGTCCCAACCGACACCAACATATCAGGCCCTCGAATCGACGACCCGTCGTCCAGTCACGCGTCACCCGAAGCCGCAATCAGTCGCAATCACTCCCCGGCCCCACGTTGCCCAAGTAGCCGCCCAGTACGTCTCCCCGAGTAGCACAGAGCGTCCAGCGTTAGCGTACGCCCGTCCCTCGGCGGTCACCGCCTCGCCTAATCTTCGCACGACCACCTTAGCTAGCGCAGCTCACCTAGACTTCGCCGCCGAGCTCGAGCGTTACGTGAACACCGTAGGTCACAGGCCCGTCCAACCAACGTCCCAACCATCCAAAGCTAAATTAGCCAGTCAAGCGTCGATAGCCGGCAGCGACCCCATCTACCAGTCGGAGCTGGTGTACGATCCCGCCACCGGTCAGTACAATACCCAACTATATCAGACACTACCCCAAACCGTGGGTGACTTCACCCTAAGTCACAAACTCCAACCGTTCGTAGCCCAGCCCCAGTCCTACCTTGGACTGCAGCAGCTCCAGCAGCTCCAGCCCCAGCAGCCCCAACGTCAGTCGCCGCTTTATAAGCAATCGGTAGCACAGTCGGCCCAAACCGCCCCCGCTGGCGCTGTCAGCCAGCCCCAGGAAGTGTTGTACAGGAAGCAGCAGGCTCAACTGCTCCAACAGTCGCAGCAGCTCTATGCCCAGCAGCAAAGACGCCAGCAGCAGCAACAACAGCAACAACAGCAACAGCAACAGCAGCAAGCTCAGTCCCACAGGCTTCAGCTGTTGGAGTCCCAGACGCAACCGCAGTCCTTCTACTACGTCGCGCCGGCAAGGTCCGCCAACGCAGCCAGCGCGCCACTTTCCGCTGGACAGATCGATCACTATCTCCGCGCCGCTGGCTACTGATCCCAATCGAAGCGTGAGTCTTTGATCGACGTACGACATTTTTAGGGATACCCTGCCGCGACGTTCTTATGTTATTCGAGGGCCCAGGACTGCCGAGGCACCCCTACGGCAAGGATTCAGTATTTGAGCATGCACCGTTGCTTAACCGTTTCAGTCCGTTGCTTAACTGTTGAGATTTTACGTTGAGAAAACCCAGTACTCATTCAGAAAAAACGCGGTCGCGCTGTTTGAGATTCTTCGACAGTGTTTTTTCAATAAATTCCTCCGCGACTTAAACGGTTAAATATGTCGAGCATTTCGTTGAATGTCGAGGAAACATTCTGTGAGGTTTTGTACTTGTTTATTTACCCTTTGAGTGCCAAGGAGCGATATATCGGTTCCTTATGCGCTTCCAAAAACGGCCAAGAGCAATGTACCTGCTGCTCATTTGTTTGTTTATAATCGTGCAGTTTTGTTTAAAATTGTCTGACATTTCTCGGATTTCTATGAAAATTTCCTCTGGTACTCGAAGGGTTAATATTACTAATTGGTCGAGTCGATAAGGTGACTTAATGGTTCAACGAAATGATTTTTGGTATTCTTGCAGGGTGTTTAGTGCATATGAGATGTAATTATAGGTTACTCGGGGTATCTAGGAGGTATTGAGTAAGGTGTTCCAGGTATTCGAACGGAATATACTTTGATGAAATTAACGTGTTTCTCCGGACAGGTGTCATTATTGCAATGCATTTATTTTTAACCGATTCGTGGACTATATAATTACATGGCATATGCATGATAGATTTCGTATGCATTATACACGGACCAGTTTGCTAAACAGAGCTCCTGGGACGGATGAAATAAAATGTCCAGGAACGAGCGCGATACATCTGCGTTTAAATAATTCTCGTGGTACGAATATCAACGGGGAAATTGCATAAATATGACAACCTTGACGATATCGACCTGAGCACGTAATACTGTCGATCTGAAATTGTCGAATACCTTCGAAACATACCACTCAGGCTTACTACTGTGATAACACCGAAGTCTTGAATAAATCTATGGACAGAGTAAATTGAGAATCCTATTTAGAAATTTGCAGGTGTGTTTCGGCATTAGGAATGGCATTATGGGAACCTGTACCTTTTATACCATTTTAAATATTTCTCTCATCGTATTTAAAAATGTACCAATTTTTAAATATGTCACAACAAGTGATACATCAGGGTTTCGCAAGCATTTGAATGGACCAAAAGCTTTCTTCAATTTTTATTGCAAATTAATTAAAGTAAACGTACCAAAAACTCCCGTTTTTAGAGTGAATTTCTCAAAATGTTTGAAAATCACTGTCCTAGAGTTTACACAATTAACTGTTACTGATTTCGTAATTAATAATGCCCGCATCACGTTACATAAAAAAATTTTACACACACACACACACACACACACTGTGTTGCGTATGCCACGCTCAACTTCACCGCCATTACACTTAACCTATAAGAGTTCTTTCACAATTACTCCACTTTCAATTTCGAGGCCTCGCGTACAACTCGCGCTGTAATTTAAAATGGCGTTGGCTTCGCAAAAAAAAAATAGTACCAGGACCCATGATTATTGAACGTCTTTCCTTGCGATCTAGCTGCACAATACACCTGCAACTTTTGCAACAGGACTTTCGACTCGTTCTCTGTAATTATGATCGTCTCCAAACTTCCTGAAGATCTTAACCGGTTGTACCTGTCCAAATTCACCTCGAATAATGTCACCGACGAGAGTACCACTTTCTAATTCCGAATATCGCGGAACTTCTCGTCCGTTCCGTGACGATATCGATTCGAAAACCGTATCAGTTCCACCAGCAACCTGTCATTACAGTCACGAAGCCCGAAACGGCATTAGTAGCGCCGATCTCGAGACCAATTTTGAGAGCGTTTTTCCATTGTTTACGTCGGGGGTGATTAGCGTCGGCGAGTGAAAGTCAATGACCTGACGCAATAACCGCGTACACGAGATATATTACCATGGGCAATTTCTCATCGCATCGGTAACGTGCTACACAGCACAGATTCCGCACCGCGAGTGGAATATACACCGTGTGCACGCGAACTTTGCAAACACGCTCCCGGCCCACGTACCCTGACTGATTTGATTACAAAACACCGTAGGATTGAACCGTATAAACATTCGCTGTCGTAACGATGACGCGACGATTAATCACGGGGAACAGAATTAATCACATGTTTCCCAGAAGCTCCCCGTGAAAGAGCCCAACTGTTTGTCGAGTAATTGATCGAATAATTAAATTAAGACGCAACTGAAGTTGATGTACGCACGAGAGTCGATCGGAATTTTTCTTTGGTCTTTGGTGCACGATGGACGGAATTGTCGAGACAGATTATGTACTTCTTTATTTATTTTTTCGATGTAAAATTTATTTTGAGTCTTTAGGAGCCATGTGTTATTTAGGAATACGTTACATTTATTATTTTCAATGCTGTTGAGTATTAGTTTATGTGATATGGTGTCCTGAACAATAGTAAAACTTGACAGTAAAACAAAGAGAGTAAAACAAATGAATGTACTCAGCAACAACTTCGAAAAAAATTTGAAAACTTGTTCGATTCAGCACGAATCGATGCCCTGGCGAGTCACCTAATCGGGAACGAGATCGCCTATCGCAACGAACCTTGCAAGCTCGCTTAAAGTGAGATTGGTCTGGAAATGTCTAAAGGGAAGTGGCTGTACTTTCATTGGCGTGGTCTGGCGCATAGAGACATTCTATTCAGCTCGCGGAACTTTCTATTTGCATTCCCTGTCGCAAGTGTGAGAATCGATTCGAACCTAATGCGTCCTACGACTCGGATTCTGTGGAAAGCTACGTGCTCCGGTACACGTGCCCGTGGAAATCCGCGCTCCTGATCGCGAATCGAAAGGCGCGGATCCAGGGATCACGCCAAGTGATTTCACAAGCAATCAAAGGTCCTTTGCGAGCAGTCGTGGGCAAAATTTGTGCCTGGATAACAGTTCCAATTAACGAATAAAAGGTAATCAGTTGTTTATCCGTTACTCGTGGAGATTAGAGTTTAAAATGTGGTACTGAATATATTCAAGTGTTCCTTTTAATTTAAAGTTTTGCACCTTGAAAAAGAGGAAAATTGTCTTATATCAACGAATGGTAAACATATTCGATAGAATTTAATAAAAGTAAACGGTACGAATAAATCGCTTCACAATCAAAATTTCGATCAAATCAAAATTTATATTACGTATATATAAATAGATGGAGTCGAACCAAGCATACACGTATAATAACTTAAAGTTTCCAGTCTCGTCGAGGGTCCTTTGACAATGAAAAACATCTTCATAGATGAAATACATTCCTCGGGCTACAATATAAATTTCAGTCACGAATGAATTGGTACATATTGATTTTATTCGTTGCCCATAACCCAAATAAATTTTCTCCATGTGTTAATCACGCTTTTACGAATGCTTTCTTTAATGCACCAAGTCGATAATTGTCAAGTTCGTCGTATTTATAGTCTATTTATTAAAAGTGAGCTTGAACCCCCGGGCGAATAAATCTCTCGTCCAACAGACGTAGACGGGGAAAGAGAGGCGTTCAGGGGAAGGGGTGCGTGTAATTGCGAATCCAGTGAATTGCGATTATTGTAACGGTGTACTTATCTCGTCGATGGTACCATAAGGAAGCGTCGATATGCGCTTCTCTACTCACATTGTACATACTATTTCGTTAGAATTAATATTTTAGCGACTACCTAGCGATTTATACGTTCAGTACTATGTCGGTAAGGAGAACGTTTCTTACGTTTATAGTTGTTTTTTTTTTTGTATTATTTGTAACCGTGATCGAAGAAAGATATACTGTAATGAATATGTTCGGCGTTGTTTATTTCTTACTTCAAAACCCCTCGACAACTCTCGTTAGACGATCGCTCGGCGTACAGGAGGGAAAGTAAAAGCGCCCGGGAGGGAATCGTAAGTATAACAAAAATGTTTACAACTTCCGCGATTTTTTGCGAGCACGAGCGCAATTGCGTGACCATCGTAGCGTTTTACAATTCAATTGTGCGTTTATTAACTGACAATGGAGATTTTAAATGAGTTTAATGAATTCTGGGCTTCCTCTTCCTGAAAGAATTAACAAAACGTTACAAGATGATCGATACGATTGCTTTTAGTAAACGTGAAAATTATTTGTAATTTTTAATGGAACCTGACTTTTTTGTATCATGAGAAAAATAGATTTTTCTACTTATATTTTTCAACTAGTAGTATGTAAAACCTGCAATTATTTCGATCACTCGCTAGATCTACATAGATGCTAGACTAGAAGGACCCTTAGTGGAGAAAAGGAATGACGTTCCTCGCTCGACTCGCAGACGAGTAATTCCAGCAATAGGACATTAACGAGTTCACTCCTGACAGCACGCTATTTTCTATTCGTGTTTTACAGTAGTTAAGCACACGCGGAAGACGCTTCCGTAAAAAGAAATTAGAAAAGTAAGGAAGCCAGCGTCCCTGATGTGTAAGCGTCATTACGTCACCAGGAGATCTGTGTTATTCAATTTCTACGTTTTCACTGATCTACTCGTAAATAGCGTATGTAACAACTACGACCAATAAGGAATGGTGCTTAAATGCGAATCGTTCTTGAAATTGATAATCTTGAACAGTCTAATAGGATTAAGTAGCGGTTATCGATAGATTGAAACGATAATGATTTAGTGTCAAATGGATATAATATGAAAATGAAATATTAATTCGTATTGACTTATAAATATAAAAGATGATTTATAAAATGAGAATCATAGAAGAAGACCTTGGTAGGTTCGTTTCTGCCAGTTTCGATGATTTTTAAATTTGATTTTTAATCGTAAATTATTGCATTATACTTTCCTATGAGAACAAAAATATTTATGTGCTAATTTGAAATGGATACGTTCTAAATCCCTTTATGGGAACACCTGCGCCAACTCTTTCCATGAATCTCGCAAACGAAGACGGATGGGAAATATGAAACAATAATCAGGAAACCGTAATCGAACGTAGGCGGACATATACCTATACATTATCGTAAATAATTTTGCTTTTGTTGTAAAAGTAACCTGTAAACGCTTTGGTGAAAGTCGTTGAAAACGAAAGGTAATAGATTAAGCATTAAATCATACCGACCCAACTTTATATAAGTCGAATCGTGCTAACAATAACATTTTTTATACTTCGCTTTCAAGTGTAATTGCGAAACCGTATCGAATGATGTATACGTGAAACAAAACTTCAACGGTCTGCGAGTGATAAATGTTTCTCTTATGATAGTTACTGCGAAACTATTGCGTGTAGCTTTCGAAAGAACTTGGGTATTAATCATGAACATTTTTAATACTGATTTACACTTCCAAGATAATTTTTAATGATTATTCTTAAATATCGAATAAATGAATGAAGTTCTTAAACAATGACTGACACTTTGAAGAAACAGATAATGATAAAGTAATCATTGTTAACTAATCCTTTTCAAAGTAAACTACAGTGAATGCTATTACTTGTGATACAATACAAATGATTCGGATTATTTAGTATTTAAAGAATGATATATATTTAGAAACTAAATATGTCTTGTCATAGTACATCGCATAGACACAAACTTGAACTTGGTTCACATTGACCTGAAACACGAAGGTGAGAGATATACTAATTTTTGTGCACAGTTATTGCAACTCATAGCACACTAGAGAAAGTTATACTGCCGCCTCCTAGTTCACTATTTTACCGATGGTTGATGAATGGTACAACCAGAGCAGTTGGTTTCTTTAGCGCAGGTAAGTGGTACGTTCATCGAGAAATCATAATTCGCATTTATTTTTGTTGTACCAAGTAAAAAATGTAACGTGATAGCTACTATTCAATGTACTCTGTTGCATTTAATCTACTTCACTTTGAACATATTTACGATTTCACCAATTATGAAAACACAGTCCTACTGTTACTAGTAGTTGGTAAGTAAAATTCTAAAAAAATATATGGTTATTTTATTACAAACCCTTATTCTCTGGAACAGATTTGTAACTGCTGATCAGTGTGCTCATTTAATATTAATTTTCTTATGTATTAGTATTTTAGGGTATTTAACAGATTTCATGATAAAAAACAAAATATGTTAATGTATATTTTATAAAATTTGAACACACGTGAAGTAATGAAAAAAAAAATTAATAAGTTTCTCAGATTTGAAAACATTTTTCTTATATAGTTAATAGTGACACAATAAAATGACAATTGCAAATCCCTAAGGAATAGATCTCTATAGATCTTAATCACGCGACACAGGATGAAACGGTAAAAAATTACTGTCGCATGCAACATCCTTCGTTTATGAAACGACGTCCATTTCCTCCTTGATTGTTCAACGAGGACTGCACAGTATGGATTGGCATAATTCAACACTGCTGGCTCCATTGGTTTTAACATTTCCGCCAATCAGATAGATTACGAGACGTCATTAGTAGTGTTCGCCTAAGACCTACTATTTATAGATGCCAATTATCATTAAATTATACTGATTTAGAGGATTGCCGACCTTGCTTTCGTTGCACGTGTCGCGACTTGTAATAGAGAAAAAAATTATATATACATTCGAAATAAGAGAATTTCAAATATACAGAAAGTTATCGGGGAATGTTACAGAAAGTAGCGCACAAGTTCAAACAATTCTGATCTCATTGCCTAATTTTGAGTTACTCTGAACAATTCTTTATTATTAGTAGGTGCATTTTGATTAATTCCAATTTACGTTACAAGTTTTAAATTGATGTTTGAAATTTTTATTCTCTAAAATAGATAAACATACACAGTCCAAATATAGAATATAATTTCAATTAACTCTCAGAGGTTGCTTTTATAATAAAGTAAGTATATGTTCTATTTCAATTATTTATATAATACATGGAAGAGCAAAAAAAATGTAAAACACAATGTTTTGATTATAACAATTTTATTCAATAGACTTTTCCCTAAAGAAGTGGATAAAGAAGATGGATACAACCCACGATAACTTACTAACAAGTTACATTCATTCAATGACGTCGAGATGGTAGTATGTTCAAGGCGTTGTGTGTCATAAATGAGTCATTAACTGTTCGATATTTCATTGCGAGCGATAAAATATGTATCTAGGGTGGGAAACACGTTGCAGATCACTAACCATGTTATTTCTCCAACAAAATTGTTTTCAAAGCTGGCTTCTGTTAGAGATGTAGAATCAATTTCAAAATGAAATTTTTAATTTTGTTAGAAATTGGTATTTAATAAGAAAATTCCCATCTATGTAATTTCTTTTTTTCTATACTTCTTAAATTAATTTCTTAAAAAGTCAGGGAATTTGAAATTCTTTTCGGCACCACGGAACGCCAAAAACGGAATACAATTGTTTAGTTCTCAGCGGAAGAATGTCAGACTTTCGTGGGTAATGATGTAGGAGTGCCGACTGAACGTAACCGTGGTAATGTGTGGCCTGCAGTTGCGTTACAATTAGCACCATGCTCGCTCTAACTTCTTCCGGAAAGTGAGATCACATCTACGTCACCTGGTATACGTTCTTCGGACTATCTAGGACACAATTCTTAATATAAATCTTACGATTTTCTCAACACTAACAATATTGAACAAGGGGAGTGTTCGACACCAACTGCAAAAATTAATGTTTAAAATTTGTCAAATTCAAGGAATGTATTGAGTTATGAATTCTTTTGTAGCTTCATAATAAAATTATTAAATGTAAATTGTAATTTTTGTGATGGTAGTCACAAGCTGTTTACTTTTTTACAAATTATTGGAAACTTTTCATTTAGATGATAATTTGGTCTGCCACTGCTTCAAACTATTGAATGGGAGCGTACACGTCTGTAAGTATACTAATCATGTAAGGAACTCGTGGCACACGAGCTATGCATACCGTAATTATGCCGATCAATTAAATTACGCAATGAGCACTACATTCTTATCTGGGAGCGCGCTGCGATTGAGTATTTCCACGCCTTGATACGGTTCAGAATTAATATAATAGTGAGAGATTTTCCAGCCCTTCTCCATTAAATAAAACTGGAAAATTAGCCTACAGAATGAACAGTTCCACGGTATTCAACGAATAATAGAAATGCAAATACTCAGTCAAATAAACGTCACGAATAAATGTCCATACGGTAATTTTATTCGCCATCTGTCCTTCCAGTGAAATATTGCCCACCTCTGTAAATTGAGCAAGGCACTCGTCTCAAAATAGCATATAAAGAGTCGGAGCCACAAAGGGAAAATACAGCACAACGACCATTCGCGAGAAGCGCGAGAGTCGAGCCAGAGAGATATACAACCGATAGGTCCAAGACATGGCATATCAAGGTGGCATCAAAAAACTGTGTACGAAACCCCCCGAGGAAATTGCATGATGTAATAATTGTCCTGTGGGAGTGTCTAGAAACGAACACCACAATACGAGTGTTGCACACTATGGGAACTATTGTTACAGATTTTACAGTCTACTACTGTTCTTGCTTGGCCGCGAACTCCCACGTGGCTTTCACTTGCGTCCCCGCGAACCCAAAACTTCATAGCGCTCTATTCCTCCGGTCGCTGGCTTCCTCTTTATCTTTTGCATGGCTGCCAAGGAAACTTCCGTTCTTTCTCGTCGACGCTTTGCGCGCACTTTCATCGTGATCGACGCCTAACGACCCTTTTTCTGTCCCATTATTCGTTTCGCGGACGACCACCATCGTAGAACGGTTACGAAAGTTTGGAAAAAAAATTTCTCACGTTATTAGGTCCAACGAGAATGGAATGATGGGAGTTCGTGAAAAACGACTCCGGGCAAATTTTAACGCGAACGGAGGCAAGAAATGGGCGTTTGCTTTATGAAAAAATATATGTAGATCGCTCGATCGTATCTGGCACACGTATTCCAAAGGTTATCAATTGCAAAATGTATGAAACGAGTATAGAAAGAAATCTGGTTATGTCTTCAGCCGAAGGTAACGATTATATGCGCCGTAGACGGTTAGATAATAATGTGTCTTTCATAGCTGGGCCAACGAATCGTTTAAACGATGCTACGTTACGATGCGCATAGTCGCGCCTAAAAAGTTTATAACCCATTGTTGGCGCGACGTTTACGAAGCATTATTCGAGATTTGTTGGCGCAGCGTCAACGAGGTATTGTAAAACGTTTTATAAAGAAGAGAAATTCAGCTGATAATTACTACAGGCGGGAACATTATGTAAAACACATTAAAGAAAGTGAAGTAAAATGAACGAGTAATTATACGTCGTGTATATGAATTTACTGTCGTGCGTTATTGATCGTGGGAAAACGAATGTAAATTAAAATTGATTATCGTTACTTTCAATCCTAGGATGAATTTTAATCTCTCAATTGACTTCATTCATATCTGAATTATTCAGTATAATATTTTTCTGACGATGTTGAAAGTAGACAATTTTATACTTTCAAAAGTAATGAAATAATGTTGGCAATCACAGATCTTAATTAATTCTCCATTTCTTTTAAATGATTACCCATACTATTTTATTATTCGATAAATTGTCTCTGCAAACAAGACGTTTTATTTTTTATATTTCCAGACATAAAACTCTTCCCTCCTAATATTATCTATAAATACTACTCCATCTAATCGCTAATTTAATTTCATTGTACACGAAACATTACAATTTCGCTTTTTTAAGTGAGCCCACTGTAAAATTCCAAACATAAAAATATGTGTAAGTGCTTCAAATACATGTCATTGTTTAATTAGCCTTTTAGATACTACAGCATAAAGAAATAAATATAATATCGAATAAATGGATTAATGGCGTTGCACGATTTCTAATTCAAGAGGCAGAAGTACTTTATTACCGTCTATCGTTCAGCATTATACTATTCCGTAATTGGCGTTTAGGGGTCATCAAGGTTGAACGTGCCGTTGGAGTGTGCGGCAGGACGTGCTGGAAAGGGTGGTGGTTTTCTACTGTGTCACTCTATATATAACGGCCGTCAGCACCCCACGCGATATTAAGAACGTTCACCGCATCCGCGGTAACATGGTTTCCAGTTACAAGGTACTTACTCTTCGCAACTCTAACAGCTCACCTACAAGTGCACACCTGTGTCGAGCGGTCGAAACGATTAGGAACGAATCATTATGAAGACCCGTTTCAAAGTAAAAAAATCTAATTAGAGAATAATACAGTGCTTTTCGCGTGATTGTGAACATATAGTGCATCATTGGTTCGCGTACAGTGCATGGTTTCCGAATTGATTAAGTGTTCATGTTTGCAAAAATTTATTTCAAAATTTAACAACTAAGACATCCCTATTTAGTGACAAGTTCGAGTGCTTTGAAGTGTTTCAATTTGTTCAGTCATCATTTGATTATTTTTTCGCTTGTGTCCGATGTTTTATTGTACACTGTTTAATAGGGAATGAGGCTGCCAATATTTGCATTTATGAGTAGCTTCTATGGCAAAAAATATTTTGTGTAGTCAGAAAGAAAGTTCCTTAATAGTTTCTAGAGCTGAACTTTGACGTTAAAAAACACGTCCGTGTTTGTATGTACATTAAAATTTTTTGAACGAGACGTATAGATATAGAAGTATCGTAAAATTTGTTTTTATTCGTGAACATCTATGTTCATTGATGTGATCTATGTTGAATGCATTTTTTAGAAAATTGTATTTGTTAGGAAAAGAAACGAATATTTTTTAGAAAAAAATATTTCGCTCTTCTACCAAGAGATCACAAACGATTCGAAAACGTTATCTTATTATTATTATTATTATATTTTGTATTACAATTCCGACACGTCCAAGTCTTCGTCGTATAATTATATTTTTTGTTATTTACCTGTAGATATCGCCTCCCACTTTAAAAATGACAACGTGGCTGATGGCAATTTTCTGTCTGGCAACAGCGGGTTGCTCGAACGTCACGGATCAGCAAACATCTGAGACACACCACGATCAGCAGGTAGCGATCTTGAAACAGATCAGAAAAGTGAACGAAGACGGTTCTTACACGTACGGCTACGAAGCTGGCGATGGATCGTTCAAGGTAAGCTTCGATTGCTGTTAATGCGAATGACTTGAAATGGGTGTACTCAGTTTCTCGGTACTCGTACTATCGACTCACCGTTGTACGTAACACATTCCAAATATAACTTAATCACTTCAAAGAACATTTTCATTATTCAACTCTCTAGGGCACGCGATTTAGAAGGAAATAAAACTCAAGCGGCATAAAAACAAAAACAGTGTCAACAACCTACTAATTTGCAAGTGTGTCGTACATGTAACTATGCTAGCATTTACTGATTTGTTTTGGCTTGTATACATTTCTGTCTTCGCTTATTTAACGTTACTTCATAGCACTGCCATATGATTAAAAATGAAAACTTGTTATAAATTTATTTGTTTGAATTTAATGTAAAAGAAACGACATTACTTTCTGGTCCCCTTAATATATATTATATAAATTATATACAAATTTCACACCATTTGCGTTTCATTTACAAACAAAATCCTATTGTGCCTCTTGGAAAACCTTCTATTCAACAATTAAACATAATATGCTTACTTCGAACAAATCTTGACAAACAAAAGTCCAAAAAATAAAAAGAAAAAAAGGAAAAACATTTCTCCGAGGTGAAAACGCAGAGAAACTAGTGCCTACATTATAAAAATTGATTTAATGAAAAATATAGACTCCTGAACGTAAGAAATGATTGTCAGGTCGAGAGTCGCGACGTACTAGGCAACATCAAGGGTACGTTCGGTTTCGTCGACGCCGACGGCGAAATAAAAAGGGTGTCGTACTCTTCCTCTAACGGGACAGGGTTTAAAGCAACCACCGTGTCACCATTGCAGGAACAAGTGTCCGTCGTGCAGAGCATACCGCGCGTAAATCGCACGACCACGACCAAGAAGCCAAGCATCGTTTACCCTTCGTCCACCGAAGCGTCCACGAAGTCGTCCGTCGTCCAGATGATACCGCGCAACAGAAAGACAACGACGACGTCGACCACGACCACCAGCACGACCACGGAGCAACCGAAATCGATATTCGGTCATTATTTGAAAGGGACTGGCAAAAGCAGGCCACGATTCGTGATCAACGGCCAACAGAGGCCTATGGTGATCGACGAAGAGAGCGAAGAGGACGAAGATTCTCAGATAAACCGACCAAGCACCGAGGACAAGACCTCCACCTACAGACGGATCATCTTTGCCAAGAGACCTGTCGATCAGACGCTTCGGCCAATCTCGGACGACTTCGTGGAAAAAGATGACGAGGCTAAGGTGACGACAGGGAACAATTTAAGAAGACAGCTGCACGATGAGACCACCAAGCCCAACCCAGTCGTGGAAACCAGTAACGACGACCATCCCGACGTGTACGGAGGATCTTTATCTACCACGCGTCCTCTATTTACAACGACCACGCCACCGAGAGTTCTTCAACGCGTGCCAGCCAATCGCATCGACAGAACCAAGCTTTACTTGAACCGAGAAAATCTTGGACCAGCCAGGTTCGAGAACGTCAAGTACGACGGTTCTAGGGTCTACGAGGCAGAGACGAAAGCACCTCGCGAGGAAACTCGCGTACCTAGCCGAGTCCAAGAAAACAGAGAGTACATAAGGCAAAGCACCGAGCCAGTGTTCGTCAGGCAGCATCCAGATCAGTATCTGAGAGAATTGCCAGGCGGGAGGATCTTGTTACCGTCTCAGCAGAGTAACATCGACGAGGATCCCGCTTACAGACAGATCCCTCTCAACAGAATCCTGTTGCGTCCCATTCCAGGCCAGCAGCCACTATATTCAACGACCACGGATGCAAATATTCATTATCTGACGGAGAATCCTCTCCCGGGTCAAGAAGAGGACCCTCGGTTAGCGGTGACGCAGGGATACATGCGTCCAAGGCCGTTCCCGAGGCCAGTGATCTATCAGGATCCCGAGCCGAGACCTAGGCCAGTTCTGAGACCGGTTCCACAGCCGATGAACCATGCTGAGGAGGACAGAGAGTATCCAACGACCTCGGAGTATCCTTACAGGGCCAGCACGATCGCCTTGCCTCCTGAGCCACCAAACCCGATCGCTCCTCCCCTCAGTCGAAGGGACTTCCAAATGCTGCTTAGGAGACTGCTCGTCAGCCAGTACGGCGTCCAGGCGCTCTCTTATCCGAAGACGTACCTGGAGGACGCTCTGTACGATCAGCAGCCTTATCCTTCTTATCAGCCGGGCTACCAAACGCCCGCACCGCGGCCTGATATAGGATACGATCAGCAGCTAGCTGTTCAGTACGGCGACAGGGTACCTCTGAGACGTCCCATGTACGCTAGAGCCCTGAGTCCTGTTTACCAACAGCAACAATTCGAAGATTACAACGACGGGAGGTTCGCCAAGAGAGTCTACAGGCAAAAGTTCTACACTCAAGAGGTCAGCGACGAGGGAGACGAGATCCTGCCTGCTCCTATCAGGGAGGCTCTTTTGCTGAGGATGCTTCAGCTGGCCATCAATTCTGAACGTCCACCCATGGCCACGACCCCGATGATGACCACGACGACGTCGGGGTACAGGAAGACCGGGCCCGTCAGGAGCGTGCAGATCATCACCGATGACGACGAGGAGGAGAAGGAAGCTATGAAGAAAAAGATGTAACGGTTAGATTATTCGAGATTTTTAAAGTTTCAGAGTTTATTTTTGTACGGTCTGACGAGGTAGCAGTCGATTAATCGATGGTAGACAATTTAATGGAGATCGATATGTATCTGATATAGTTTCTTAGTCGAGTTGAACTTGATTCGTGCGTCTCTTGTTGGAGATAGAACGATAGTAGAATTATAAATTTTGAGAAATTAAAGTTTGTACTTAATTAGAGAGACGTACTGTGCAAAATTTCTGAGAAATTCGGATCACCAATTTCAGACTGTATTATTTATTTCTTTTTACGAACGTTGCTTTCTCATTTAACGGTTCATTTATTCTCCTGCACAGGTCTAGCTGGGACTGTAATATTTAGAATACGAATTACATTTATACCAGGAGAATGCTTGAAAAATGCATTTAAAGTATACTTATTTTAAAGAGAATTAAAGGAAATATCACGTTATTTCTGGAATTTTCAGTTATTGTTAGAATATACAGTGTGTCTTCCATTGGGTAATAGAACCGAATGGAATGTGATACTAGGTGAAAAAAATGAATGGAAAATGTGAAGTAATCTTTTCAATTGGAGGCTTTATTTTTTAAGAATTCGTTTTCAAAGTTCCTTGGGCCATGCGATTTATAAAAAAGTTTCTTGGACCTTAGATGTCAATTTTGCTTATATACTATGTATGACGGGGATAAATTTAAAATCATAGAATCAGATAAATCAGGAATATTATTCTTGAATAGTTAACTGTAATTCAGTTAACCTAAAGATATGTGCGAGTCGAGTCTCACAAGTCAGTATGCGCCAAAACAGATTTAAACTCGATTATCTCAAGAATGAATCTTCGTAAAAAAAAATTGTATTAGACATTTTCGATTCATTTTTTCACGTACAATCATTTTCATCTCGGTTTACCACTCATCGAGGACCTTCCTATTAGTTATACACCGCTCAACAGTCAGACTTTCCTTTTCTTTCGTTTAATCTTCAAGCTACATTACGGGCGCCCTGAACATTTCAAAGAAGTATAAATAATTATGAAACATCCGTACGAGCTGTCCCATACAATGAAATAATTCTCATCAATCCAGCGTTCCACGTTATCTCACGAATTACTATGGCAGCGTGATACAATTCCCTAGCTTTTATTGTTTTTCGAAAAAGGAATAATCCGCCGGACCAATTTAGAAATGAAAAGTGACAGTATTAATTACGACGGTTGCGGTATAATTGAGAACTCATCATTTCCTCGTAACGAGAACCGGCGTACAAAAGACCGTGAGAAGATGAAAATGTAACGCTGATAGACAATCGCCGCGGCATAGTTTTCACGGAACACGCTGGAATCGTCGGCGAAACGAATCGCCTTCTCGGAAAGGGAAATGTCCTGTGTGTTCGTTCGACGATTTTCCGCACGACAACTTTCAACAATCTCACAACGCTCGTTTTTGCTTTCAAGACAGATCGTCGTTGCCTTCAAACCGTTCCAACGAGGGAGCAATTAAGAGTGCGTTGGTACACGCGTGACTATTATGTTTATCATGCATACGGCCGCATTACACTCTGTCACGTTAAATTATAGCATAGACATCCCAAAGATGACCGGTAGCGTAAACAGTAGAGCACTGAACGAAAGTACTTTAACTCTAGTTTAAACGTGGCCACGTTCAACATCATCGTCGACAATTTTCGGGTTAACCGCTGTGTCAATCGTGAGGCTTGATTATGTTACTTTACTGATTATGACGGTGGAATCACATTTTAGTAGATTGAATTTTTATTCAAGTTGAAGGGACTTTTATTTTTTTTTTTTTTTATTTTTTGGAGAAAGAACATCATGTTGACTTAGTATATGATTAGATTATTGCACATTTCTTGTTTTATTCCATTGATGTCCAAGCCTTATTCTCGTCAGAGTAAACACCTTCAGCTTATGAACTACCTAGATGGCTTTCTTATTTCTAGTATCTCTAGATACCTTTATTAAATTCTTAATTACACTTGTCAACGTTGTTGTTATACTTTCATCCTTATTTATTCAAATTAGAAACTGTCGTTTCTTGCTACAAACTTTCTAATCGATTCAATCCTGTCATTTCCTTAGCTGATTGCTCAGATAAACAAGATCTAATGAAACTATCTATATACGCTATCAAATGGTTTTACAGTGAAAGTATATAATAATGATATACTGATGGTGAACTATATAAAATTGACACGCTTGATGCAAAACTTGTCATACTATAATATTACCAATATTTCAATCATAGCATTGATATAATTGCTCTACGTTGATCTAAATTTATTACATTGAACCTGAAGAAGGTTTCTAATAAACAATGCAATTCAAAAAATTTCTATCAAATTTACGAACACGACCCGTAACTTGTCGCGAAATTATCGACGACGGCGTTAAACGTGACTGGGCCTCCTCGTGACATCGCCCTTTAGAGTTCGATCCATTGTAAATATAACGTTATATACACTAGTGTAAAATATGTATCGAAATAAAAGGAGATAGATGATAGATAGCGTTGGTGTGAGAATTCATTTCATAAGCCTCTGAGAGCCGGCGCACCAGGAAAGAATAGTAACGTGTCTCTACCGCTGGTAATTAGCATCGTCAAGTTGCGACACTTAGCCGACGGATACGCGAACTTGTATTTGTTAGGCAGTGGTGTAGGCCCACACGGCGAGGGCGGAGATCATGGGACTTTGCACGTGAATTCCACACTTCCACCTATTCAGAACTCGCTTAGCCGTTGCCAAATGCCCGGATGGAGACACTCAGCGTTCGGGAAAGTCTGTGCCACTGTTATGTGAGAAAGCCGACCGATTGGAAGCTAACCAGACCATCTTTGTTTCGAGAAGAAACACCAGTGACTCGTGACGAATGAAGACTGTCCACTATAAGTCACTGGGCTCTTACAATGGAAGCCCATTATTCGCATTAGGGAGCTGCGTACACCTGGAAGAAGCGTAAGTCAAATGAACATTGCGCATTCCTTGTTAGGGAAATTGTGTCGTAAATGGTACGAGTAATCCATTTAGAAAGATTTAAATTGGGATAAACGCAAGTAAGAACGAGGTTGTCCTTTTTGTTTCGGTGCAATATTTATTTTGAATTGAGAAGTCATTACAGACGTTCTGAATTTCGTATTATTATCTATTGTTCATACATTCAACTATTAATAACTCTGGTTTAAATGAAAATATCCACCCCCCATTTTGGTACATTAAATAATAATGAAACGCACGAATTGCTTCAATATAGCTTTTAAGCAGTTTAGCTTTTCAATATGTGCTTTTTGGCATGTGTGACTGAGGGAAGATTAAAAGGTTAAGATTAAAGTTCTATGATTTTTCTTTCTAAATAAATTATATGTTTACCTTAGAAAGGCACAGTACTAATATCTACTCCTAATAGTTCATAAACGTATGACATGAAAACAAAGTTTAAATCATTACTCATTGATTATCTATTAATTCCGTCGGTTTCGTTTGGAAATTAATCAAACAAGTAATATTCAAATCATTATATGATGAAACTAACATTTACGTTTCAATTTACTCTTATACACCCACCACCGTTATGCTTTCGATTTAGTTCACAATTACACGTGACATTCATAAAGAACATACGTTCACTGCATCTGTAAATATCAGTTTGATACTGTAGAATAGGTATATGGAAAAATGGGAGCAAGACTTTCTTTACCGAAGAGATATTTATAATAATTTCATTCTTGCGTGATCGTCAAAGATTTCACTTTCATATGTCGTTCTTTTATGGATGATAATTTAATACATTAAAAGCGAATGTAGATTGTTATTATTAACGATAGAAGCATATTATAAAGATTACTATTATTTATGAAGCACTACTATTACGTTAATTAAGACAATTCAGTTATATTAATTAATTATTTTACGATAAGTTTGGCACAATTATATATGACATAGTCAAACGCAGCTCAATATTTTCGTGTTTATGTTGTGTGCATAATAAAATGTCCTGTGGCGTTATAATACAATAATTACCGAAGTATGATTAGTTACACTTCATTTAAAAATCATAACACTTTTCATATAAGCATTTAAATGTAACCCATTTTATAACTCATACATTTATTTGTGAATTCAATGTATTATAACTTCAACAACTGGTTTCAAATTCTTAGAATAATTAAATCTCCATCACTTGTAGCTAATCATCGATCATTGGAAATCAAACCAATTAAAATTGTCCAAGAGCTTTAACAAGAAGAAATACTTTCCGTCACTTCCTGACATTTACGGACCTGAAGCACGCCTAACGAAATAACGCCAATCATTAGTCCCGCCACGATTTCAATAATGCGTCATTTGATATGAAGCAAGAAGCCGATAGTTCACTTCCAACGGATGAAAGAATATTTTCTAGCAACGGCTGGCAACCTTTCGACTTTTCTCCGCGAGCCGGATACGCCATGTGAACGGCTGTCGTTAAGAGACAGAAGAATTTGCCAACTAGCCAGCGTTCGTGTGTTTTGCAAGCTGCGACTTCCGGTGTCTCCGCGAACGTGCCAATGGACGTGCGTACGTTTCGGCCTGGACTATACAGGTTGTACCTTGCCTTCGAAGCATCTAATTAGAGCAGTTGTTACGTGTTTCGTCGATTTTCCTTGTCTACAATGGAAAGCTGTCGTGAAAGACAAGGGTTCATTGTCTCTCATGCTGGAGAATTCCACGCAATCTGCGATGGAATACCGAACACAGAAGATGAAAGGAGAATTCGCAGGTATTATAGTCGATCTTGATAACTCCTCCGTTTCTGCTGTCAGTCGTGGAAAAGACATTAACGATAGTTGTTGTGGACGTATTTAAATAATACATTAAGAAGGTTCATGTTTTCTATAACAATCTTTCTTTGCCTTCGAGCCTTCGACTGCTTATATTATTATTTCGAAAATTTCAGATCTAAGGTTGATCACTAAAACTCCCTCAAGAGTATAAACGTGCTTAATCCTTACACAGTTTCTTTCGCATTTGAAAAATATGTAGTTTGTATTAAATTACAGAATAATTTGCAAATAAAGCAATAATTTGCGAATAGCTTCTACCAATAAGTTACTTGTACCTTTATTCTTACTACTGTACTTGTTTTTACATAAATTATTACGTTCACCACACTTGAATAAAAGTGGATCGATATTCAAGTAGACGGTGAACCACCTTGTACAATCTTCTCATTAATCAATTTTATATACAATCTTCGGTATCTGTCATCAGTAATGCGACGAGCATTTTCCAACATTCGTACGACTTTAATCGATTATTTATACAAATATAAAAATTCTGAGCGACGATGGCGTGTTTAATTGGACGCAAGCGAAACTTTCGAGTGAACCGAGGCAGAACGAGGGACATTTTTCACACTCTCGACATCGTCTTCCAGCGGATAGGGACTGAAAGGCTCCGTTTGTACACCCACGTCCTCGTAATCGAGTTCCAGGGCGTCCTGTTCGTAAATTGCGTCGTGACTTCGTGGTCGAGCAACGGAGGGAATCCACGGTTGTGGTGTGCCTTTGCCGAGCGCCAAAAACACTGCTGCAGTCGTTAACAAAACTACGGACGCCACACCAAAAACTAATCGCCACGAACCTGCAATCTGTAACACACGTTTACGTTTCAATCATAGAGATGGTTGGTTATCAGTCTCTATAATTATGTATTATATCTGTTACAAATTAAATTAGAATTAAATATTCAAATGTTTAAATATATGAAACAGCATGGTGAATATTTTATTCAAGCATATTGCGTGCAGGATGACTATTTATATATAAAACTATATTTGTTTACAATGGCATTTGAAAGTATCACCAATTTTTGGATCTGGTATTTTCATTTTCAAACGAATATGATATATATCGACAGATTTTCATTTCATAAATTTCCATTGGATTAGAATTAGAACCCCTCGATAATACAATCCTAGTTTTAAAAACATATAATATTTATTTGAATCTGTAATGCATTCTTACTGCATAAAATAAAATGTTCTTAAGTTTATGTTGCTAATTTCTATCTAAAATTTATATTCTCACCCGATTCGCGGTTACTTAAAGGGAGAATTCAGAATTTCAACTATTTTGTGGGAATTTGGTGTACATAAAATTGCACTGTAGCAGTTCCACTTACAGAGCCGTGAAGAGCTTGAGTAACAAAGTAATTGGCAGCCAACAAGCCCGCTGCTCCTAGAGTAGAGCACAAAGCACACGCTGCTGCAGCGCAGGCTGGAGATTCTACAGGTGCAAGATCCGCTATCGCTGCTAATGCACCTGCTGGTGCAGTTCCGGAGACCAGGAGAGCGGCTATACCTAACCATGCTGCGCCTAATGCTTGGCAACCAGCGTAGCCAGCGACGAACAGTAGGGCCGCGGGAATAAAATGAGCTGGAAATCAATTATACATTTCAAGAAGACCAGAGCTAAAGGATTTGTTATTTATCTCGAGACAAAAACACAAAATCTTTTTTAGGAATAATTCAGTAGCTTCAATTTCAGAAGAGGACCTAAAATTGAGATTAGAACACATTTCGTTTAAATAAACTATGTTCCTTTTTGCTATAGTCGTCATTTGCATATTTACTATCTTAAAGAATTGGTGTATGTATGTTATACTTTTCAAAGATATATGATATAGTAATTGTAATTAAAATGTAAGTAATTCTGGTTCGCAGATAGTGAAAAGTAATACGTAATTGAATTGCCTTGTTCATTTTGTTTGTGCATGTGGATATTTCACAACATATATTTATGTACAACGGAACTGATAAAATTACCTAAGTAATTGCATTCAGAGAAATGAAAATTTCTAATTGCGGCACATACCTGTGTAAACGACCAACTTTCTCGCTGTGGTCGTTGAAACTATTTTAGATTCGCGAACGTGATCCACGAGGAGGCCGCACGTTAACGCAGCCATGAAATGACCAATGTGAGGTAACGTCGTTAAAACGGAATCCTAAAGACGTAAACCATTTGAATGTTGTTCCGTCATTTCTAAGTTACTTTAAAATAATTATACATGAGATACATACGTCAAATTTGGTCACTCTTGTATTATATTAACACATTAAGAGAAGGAAAATAATAATTGACTACATGTTAAATATATTATGTCTTGTAATGTTCTTGATATTACGATAATTTTAAAAATAAATAGAAGTAGTATCCGTTAAAATAAAAATTACTGAATGGAAAGAAAAATGAAAACTATACATAGGAATGAAATAAAATGATATCTCCCTATGGTGATTAATAAAGTGGAAATGAAAAGTGGATATATTGATTATTCACGCTTTCTTTAAAATTAGAAACTCACATTAGCTGTGGAGAATCCGTAGATGAGTTTTAGATACTTCGTCATGCCTAATGCAAGGGTCGCATCGCCCCATTGGTTGCCCATGGTTGCCACAGCTGATGCCCAAACAGGAACCGAACGAAGCAATTTTCCCCATGGGATCACAGCTGCCTATTGTATTATTTATTTAATGAATAAAATTTTCTGAAAATAAATACTAATTCTATTGTTGAAGACTGTGACAAGTAAACAATATTCCAGTTGAAATATTCCTTGATGATGGTTTCATGACTGATAACTTGTCTAGAAAGAGTGAACGTGAATAATTCTGATGCAATTTATTTAACATTTAATGTGGGAATCGTCGTTACTGGTATTTCTAAACAATGATTTTATGATTGCAACAATGCACTAAACGCATAAATTAGAGAATGCTGCTTTCCTCTCTTTCAATCCTTCCCATTATTTACTTGATGTACTGACAGATGGCTAAAATTCATTCGTTAGTGTACATCAAAGAAATGTTCTTATGAAGAATTTAACACAACTATTACAGGTTTTAGCTCCTGCTTGTAACATGAAATTATTAGCGATTTGTGATACTAATTACGAGGCTTTGAAAATTCCTTGAAAATAAGAAGAAATCGATCTTACGTTTGTATCGTGCTGATAGGATTTAGGAGTGTCCTTGACGAACCGGCCAAATGCGAAATACCAACACAGCGCAATTATAACGAGACCATAGCAA